ATGGCGGGCTCCTCTCCGCGGCTGCTCCCCCGCCGTCCGGGATAACCAGCGGGGAAGGATTGGGCTCCCACCCAGCTCCGCCTCTTGTCTCCAGGTCGTGTACATCGCCTGCTCCTACGCCACGGTGTGGCTGATCTACAGCAAGTTCAAGGCCACATACGACGGGAACCACGACACCTTCCGGGTGGAGTTCCTTGTGGTGCCCACGGCTGTGCTGGCCTTCCTGGTGAACCACGACTTCACCCCGCTGGAGGTAACGGCGGCCCCACGCCCCCGGCGGGGGCACCGCCAGGCTGTTTGGGCGGGGCTTGGTTACTCTGGGGGCGGGCAGGGAGGGAGGGCATCTCCCCGCCTAGAGCCTGGCGCGGGGGGATCCCACGGACTCCGGCGTGAGTTCTAACCGGTTCTCTCCCCGTCGCTGTGTGGGTCCTAAGATCCTCTGGACGTTCTCCATCTACCTGGAGTCGGTGGCCATCCTGCCGCAGCTGTTCATGGTGAGCAAGACGGGCGAGGCGGAGACCATCACCAGCCACTATCTCTTCGCCCTGGGCATCTACCGCACCCTCTACCTCTTCAACTGGATCTGGCGCTACCAGCAGGAGGGCTTTTTTGATCTGATCGCCATCGTGGCCGGGCTGGTGCAGACCATCCTCTACTGCGACTTCTTCTACCTCTACATCACAAAAGGTGCGTGCGGAGATTAGGGACAGGGATCTAGTGGTCAGAGCTGGAGGGCTGGGAGCAGGACTCCTCTGGTCTCTCCCCAGCTCTGGGAGAGGAGTGGTGTCTAGCGGTTAGAGCGGGGGGGGGGCTGGGAGCCAGGACTCTTGGGTCTATCCCCAGCTCTAGGAGGGCAGTGGGGTCTCGTGGGTTTGAGCAGGGGGGGCTGGGAGCCAGACCTGCTAGGTTCTGTCCTTCCACTTGGAGGGGAGTGGGGTCTAGTGGTTACAGGGGGGCAGCTGGAAGTGAGGACTTCTGGGTTCTATTTTGGCTCTGTCACTGATTCGCTGTGTGGTCTGGGGAGAAAACAAGTTGCTTCCCCTCGCTATACCCCAGTTAGCACTTCTGGAAACTGAGCCATGCTCACCCACCTCCCAGGGTGGGCATGTGTGAGGAGCTGGGGCCGAATGACCTGTGCTTCTGGGGCTAACACTGGTAATTCAGCGGGGATCTGTGGTGTGGTCATTAAAGGCTTTGTGGGACTTTATTGGGGGAGTCGGACTGGCAAATCCCTGTACAGTGGCAATTTTATCCCATGGCCCTGTCGCCCCTGCTATGCCAGCCCACCGTGCCAGCCAACCCTGTCAAATGCTGCTGCTAAAGTTAGGCATCAAAATCCACTTCGGAGAAGAGGCTGGATTTTGTCAGAGGGACCAGGTGCTCCAGGGTCGATGGGAGCTGAGTGTGTTCAGCCCCTCTGTGAATCAGGCCCTTGTTTGAGTGCCTAAAATTCAGGACTTGGCATTTGGTCTCTGTTCTCGTTTGTCATACTTTTCTAGCATGGCTGTGTGCTGCTAAATAGCTGCCATGCCCCCACCCCAGAGGTGGCTGCATCTCAGTGCTGAGAAAGGGCTCCTTGTACAAGGAGCTGTTGCACCTCACCCACAGGTGGCTGCATGTCCCCTCTGGGTCAGCAAGTCCTTTGTGACCAGCTATCACACCCCACCCTAGAAGGGGCTGCCTCTCAGTGGTGGGTGAAGGTGTAAAATGCCTTGAGACCAAAGGTGTAAGAAATGCTGAAATCCTTCCTCCCACAGTTCTAAAGGGGAAGAAGCTGAGTTTGCCAGCGTAGTGGCATCCTGCTCCCGCTGCCCTCCGTCAGCCCCTAGGAGGAAGCCTGTTCACATGCAGACGACAGACACGTACCGTTTCTGACTCTCTTTTTTTGTTTTTTGACCAACTGAACCAGCCACAAGTCGAGCTGAGCTCTCCTGTATTTACTGTCACCTGGAACTGTTAGCCACTCGAGCGAGAGACCGTGGGGATTTGGGAGGAAACAGTCGACAGGCCTTTTTTGGTCGAGACGGATCTCTGGGTTTGAGAGTTTGTAGTTTTTTTGCCTTTTGAAAACACCCAACCCCATCTCCCCTGCCCTTTCTCTTCTTTTTCTCCCTCTTCCCTTATTTTTATAAACAGCCGGGGACGTTTTAAATGGGCTCCTCTCTTCCCTCTTGGCTGATTCCCCGGTTGTGTAGCCAGACAGGCTCGCTGAGGTCTTTGGTGCCTGCGGCGTGGTTTTGCCAATGTCTGCTCGGATGGAGGCCAGGTTTTTTTGGGGTGCTGTTTTCGAGACATAGGGTGGGGGTGTTATTTCACACCACAGGGAAGGCATTGAAATAGCCTCTGGTTCCTTTTGATAAAAATCCATTTTTTTTTCATTTCGAGGTGGGAATTGAATCTGTCTCTGTTTATTCCTTTTTTTATTGGCAAAGAGGGTGCAACACACTAAACTCTGTAAATCTCCTTGTTGTGTACATAATTGATGGTTAATTCCTTGTTCACTTTAAATAAACAGAAGAAAACATTTTTTTTTTTTTTTAATCAACTTAGTGCCTTTTTTTGGAAAAAAAATCAATAAAAGAGAAACCTGCTTTGTTTTCCTGTCCTGTGTGTGGTCACCTCTTTGTCTCCCCTCTGTTATTCTGGCAGTTTCGATTGGATACAGGGCTCCCCATCGCTTCCTGTCCTAAACATGGTGTTGCTGTGTGTGCCATTGAATGTTTTTCATTGGAACATTTTTTTTTTCTTTCATGGAAAAGTGGGGTTTTGATTAAAGGAATTTTTGTTGAAAAAGGGTCTGTTTTTTCCACAGGTAATTTTGAATTGTTTCATCCAAAAACGAATGCCTCAAACCTGAAATATTTTGATTTGATTTTTTACACAACACTCAGTTAACCTGTGGAACTCATTACCATGGGATGTTGTGATGGCCAAAGGTATAACTGGTTTCAAAAAAGAATTTGATAAGTTCATGGAGAATAGGTCCATCACTGGCTATTAGCCAAGATGATCAGGGACGCAACATTATGTTTCAGGTGACCTGAAAGCTCTGGCTGCCAGAATGCGGGATGAGAAGACAGGCCTGCATCTCTCCAAAATTGTCCTGTGCTGTACATTCCCCCTAAAGCTCTGGTACTGGCCAATGTCAGAGACAAGATACTGGGCTAGATGGACCATTGGTCTGACCCACTATGGCAGTTCTTATGGATATGCTGTTGCAGTGCCTTATGGGAATTGTAGTTTGGGTGCCTCAATATTTCCGGTCTCCTCTATGGGCTGGGCTTCCCAGCTGAGTTTCATTTCCCATGATGCACCACCTCCCTTCAGTGAGAGGAGAGCCGATCATACATCATGGGAGATGCAATCCAACCAGGGAGCCTATCTTATGGAGCAGAATGGCACCCAAACTACAAATTCCATGAGACACCGCAGCAGCATATTTGAACTGAAGATTTCAGGTTTTGATTTATTTTTTCCTGCCAAAAAGTGGAAATTGTCTGTGGCAATAGAAACCATTTTCTGCCCAGCGGTAATTCTGAGTTCTTTGGGAATCACTTACTTCTGCTGAGCTCAAAGTAAGTCCTGTTCCAGGGGTTTCAAATGAACTTACAGCCCCTATGCCACATTCAGATGATGCAAAATCTCAGCTTTACCCATTTTTTTAAAAGTAAGTTTCCAGCGCTCCTGGTTGTGAAGAAAACCTTCCCCTGGGAACTGAGGTTAAACCAGGGGTGAAAGTTGGCCGGTATGGCGTACCGGTAAGAACCCGTACCGGCCCGTATTCACCCAACATTAAAGCGCTGCCACGGCACCACTTTAATGTCCCTGCCCCTTTTGCCTCCCCTGCCAGGGGCCCTGCTGGTGCAGACCCTACCAGCAGGACCACCAACTGGGTGGGGGAAGGGCAGCAACATTAAAGCGCTGCCGCAGCAGTGCTTTGCGGATCCTTAAAGCGCTGCCGTGGCAGCGCTTTAACATCCCTGCCCCTTCCTCCCAGTCAGCGGCCCTGCTGGTAGGGTCCGTACTGGCAGGGCCCCCGACAGGGGAGGCAAAAGAGGCAGGGACGTTAAAGCGCTGCCATTGCAGCGCTTTAAGAACGGTCCTTTGCCGCAGCAGCGCTTTAACGCTGCTGCGCCCCTCCCGCATCAGCAGCCCTGACGGTTTTGGGGGGCGCAGCAACATTAAAGCATTGCCGTGGCAAAGGACCCTTAAAGCGCTGGGGGAGGACAAAGGGAACAGCTACAGGGACTTACCGGTATGAGGTGGGCCGGGGCTGGCTCTGACCCCCCACCCTGCCCCTTCCGCCTGAGGCCACGCCCCTTCCGGGGGCCAGCCCCAGCCCAGCCCTGTACCGGTAAGTCCCTGTAACTACTTTCACCCTTGGGTTAAACCAAAGCAGCGCTGCCTACTTGAGTCTGCAGGCAGCCTGAAACAACAGCTTGGAGATGCATGAACTCCTTGCTCCTGCACCTTGTTGACATGTTGATTCAAATGCCGCGACATTGTCAATGTAACTGTGTTGCTGCTGGTCCTTTTAGCAGAAGCAGCTGGTGCAGGGAAGGAAATGCGGCAGAAAGAACAGCAGAGCCACAAAGATGAGGAGGGAGAGAAAGGAGGATGGTGGAAAGGAAGAGTGCAGAAATGCCACTGACCTCTAAGGAGTTGGGTATATCTTTCTCACTTTAGTGTCACCAAATGTGACAAAGAACGGTAACTAATTTAGACACATTCTATCCTTGATCTTTGCAAACTTCCAATTGGCATCAGCGGGGTGGCGGGGGAATGGAGCCCTGTATTTAGGGCCAGAACTATACGCAGAATTTGTCCCTTTGCATCAAATGAGTTTGACACCCGTGGTTGTTGGCTTTCATCTCAACACTGCTTCTCTGTGTCTCAAGTCTCCTTCCCTCTTGCCTTATGATTTGAATTAAGCCACTCAGGTTCTGGTTGAGAAAGCAAAAGCCTCTCTTTATTTACTGCAGGGTGAAAAAAATAGATCTCTAATTGTCATTCAGGAAAGTGAGCCGGTTTCCCCTTGGAGTCTGCGGGAAGGGGATGGAGCTGGCTCTTCTGCCTTCGGTGGGGCTATGATACTCCATGCTGTTGGAGATGGAGGTGGTGGTGACAGAAGAGAGCGTGGTCAGGGCCACAGCGCCTTCGTCCAAGGACTTTTTGTAGGGAATGGGGGGCTCAGACAACAGGCCCCTCAGGGCTCGGTAGCCCAGGTACACCTGCAAGGCAGAGATGGGGAGACCTGTCACACACATGTCATTCTTAGTCCGAACATCTCCATTTAGGCTTAGGGAATGGCCTCACTGCAGAGTTAACTCAGGTTAGCTACACTCAAATTACAACTCAACTACCAGCTGTGTCCGCATTGGCGCATGTGCGGTGCAAGGACCTCGAGGGGCACATCTGGCGGTTCTGAGCACTGCAGTAAACTGAGCCGCTCTCTATTCTTTCCCAGTGAATTACAGGAGAACTTGTCTGTCCTTTCTGGTCAAAGTGGGGTAGCAGCACTTGAGCGGAGCTAGCCTGCCTCTACACTGGAAAGAGGTCATGTTAGCAGCTGATGAGCTGTGCTTCCTAGAGTTTTAGCCTATGCCCCCTCTTGGGCCAGGAACACCACCCCACACTCAGGGCTGTTGTGTGTATGGGACTCAAGTTAGTGGTAACACTCAGATTAACTTTGCAGTGAAGACAGGCCCTCAGAATGACTTCCAGGGATAGTTCCCCAGGCAGTGTAAATCCATATAGCTCTGTTGACTTCACTGGAGTAACAACTGATTTACTCCAGCTAAGGATCTGGCCCTCAGTTTGTAAACTGGTCAGTGCAGCCCTTCCTGATGAGGGCTCCCCCTTCTGGCATTGGAATCCCCCACTTCCTGATCTGGAATACTAGCTGAATCTTGAATCATTCAATTCATTTGGTGCCTGCGCATGAGTGAGAGAGACAGGGAAGGTCCGTAACAGATCTTGTGAGAAGGCCCCTCCTGAGAGCAAGTAACTAGGTCCGCAGCCCGTTGAGGAAAGTATGAGTCACCCATTTGCGGGTGGTCTGTTAAGGGCCTGATCCCAAGAGGCGCTCAGCAGCTGCTGCTCCCCTTAAAGACAAAGGCATCAGGCTTTCTTTTTGGCACCTCTCAAGGCAGGCGTGAAGAAGGGTGAACTGGCAAAATATGAAGGGGGTGGTGTCTTGGTATGAAACAAGCCAAGTATTCCTGTCATCAGGATGGGAAGTCACAGCTGTGGGTAGAACCTGTGTGGACTAGTGGGGTAAACATGGGTGCTGCCAGAAAAGGAGCCAGGCATGCTTGGCTTCTTACCACAGCTGGCTCTGTGCCTCTGTTTCCCCATATACCTGCTTACCTCCAGAGTGTGTTAAAAGGGTTAATTGCTTTGGAAATGTAAAGTGCTACAACCATGTTAAGTGATGAGAAGGAGGAGCCCTCTAATGCAGGAAGAAAGAAATAGACAGGAATCACAGTAGCACCCCTATACCACTTTCATTCTTAAGTTACTGCTATTTCCCAGAAAGGGCCAATTCTGTCTCAGTTAAGAGGGGAAATCTCCTTTCTTTCCTGCCCAGTAGTGAAACATTCCTTTTACAAGGCAGCGCAACAGGGGCTCTGCTATGATTGCTGGATCAACGGGGTGTATTCGCTCTGGAAAGGACTGGAGTCGAGAAAGAGAAGTGAGAATTTCTTACCCAGCAGGGGATGGAGAAGAAAGCAAAGGCAATGCTGGCGCGGGCTGAGCTGCTTCCCAGCAGGTAGTGGTGAGCAGACCTGTTCCATTGATTGGCCAGGAAACAGAAGCCAACGAACCATATGCACGACCAGATGACTGGAAAGACAGGGAGCAGGATTATGGGCAATGCAAACAGGTGTGTTGGGGAGTTATGGTGAGGTGGGAATGGAGCTGTCAAAGGTCCATGCAAAAGCTCAGGGTGAGTGTTCCCCTTCCCATTTGTCTGAGGCAAACCTCCACATGTGACTGAGATAATGGGGCTGCATTTCAAAGAATAAAGCAGCTGAAAAATATCATAAAATGCTCTCCGGTGGTTATTGTACAACCAAGTGAATGGGAAACTCAATGACACCTACTGCTCCAGGGGATAAGCTGCCTGAGGAGCTGGGGGGCATTTTTATCTCTGATGAACATCACTGGAAAATTGGTGGGTGTATTAAAGAGGTGTTTTGCCTTCCTCTGAGACATTAGAAGGAGACAGAATACCAAGCTAGATGGATCACTGGACTCCCCTGAGGTGGGATTCAGGAGACCTGGGTTCAATTCCTGTCTCAGCCATGGTTAAGTCACTTCATTGCCTCAGTTTCCCCATCTGTAAAATGCAGATGATGATATTTACCTCCCTTTGTGAAGCACTTTGAGGTCTACTGATGAAAAACACTAGCTAGGGACTATTGGTGTGATCCAGTGCAGCAGGCAGACTGTGGGCAGATGCAGCAGACTAGACGGATCGTTAGCCTGATCAGGTGAGCTAGGGATACCGCGCCTCTGCTCAGACCTGGTGGCGGGCGTACTTGCCTTAAACAGGCTGCTTTTCTGATTGAAAATGTCTGCAGAGAGGATACCATGCTTAATAGACAGTTGATCTGATGTGGTACTGGCAGAGGATGAAGACAGACCAATGGGTCTGATCCAGTCCAGCTGGGAAGTGGGACAGCAGCAAAGATGTCTCAATGCCAAGATTTGTAGCCCTTTGGCTCTGGCCAAAGTGGAAAAGGTTGAAAGTGCGTGAGTGAAGAGGGGCTTGCTGCTGTGCTATGCTGAGCTGTTGGTGACCAACCCCATAGAGGGACGTTTGGATTTGGGGGAGTAATCACTTACTGGAGAAGGTCAGGTCCAGACTCAGGATGACAGATTTGACCTTGTGGCTAATGATGATGTTGTCATAAGCGTCGAAGGCCAGGAAGAGGAAGGATTGCAGGAAGGCCAGGACCCCGGCTGTGATGGCATAGCCGCAGGCCACCCTATTGTCATTCAGCACGCAGCGCAGCTGGGATGAAGCTGTCAAGTTCTGGTAGCCGTCGGTCACCAGGGAGGCAAATATGATAAGCGAGAAGAGCTGGGGTGGCAAAAAGGGAAAGAGTTAACCACAGGTAGACAGACACACTGCTGGGATTGTGTAGGGCTGTGGCGACTGGTGGGTAATATGATTGTCCTGCCAGCTCCTCTTTTAGACTGTAAGATCTTTGAGGCAGGGACTGTCTCTATTTGTTCAGCACCCACCACAATGGGTCCCCAATCCCAAACTGTGTGATTCTGTAATAGCCCGTTGCCAACTCTGTCCACATATCTATTCAGGGGATACCGTCATAGGACCTAATCACATCAGCCACACTATCAGAGGCTCGTTCACCTGCACATCTACCAATGTGATATATGTCATCATGTGCCAGCAATGCCCCTCTGCCATGTACATTGGCCAAACCGGACAGTCTCTATGTAAAAGAATAAATGGACACAAATCAGACGTCAAGAATTATAACATTCAAAAACCAGTTGGAGAACACTTCAATCTCCCTGGCCACTCGATTACAGACCTAAAAGTCGCAATATTACAACAAAAAAACTTCAAAAACAGACTCCAATGAGAGACTGCTGAATTGGAATTAATTTGCAAATTGGACTCCATTAAATTAGGCTTGAAGAAAGACTGGGAGTGGATGGGCCATTACACAAGGTAAAACTATTTCCCCATGCTTATTTCCCCCCACACACACACGCACACAGTTCCTCATATCTCCTTGTAAATTGCTGGAAATGGGCCATTTTCATTACCACTACAAACAGTTTTTTTCTCTCCTGCTGACAAAAGCTCACCTTAACTCCTTATAGTGCGTATAGTAACACCCATTGTTTCATGTTCTCTGTGTATATATATATCTTCCTACTGTATTTTCCACTACATGCATCCGATGAAGTAGGCTGTAGCCCACGAAAGCTTATGCTCAAATAAATTTGTTAGTCTCTAAGATGCCACAAGTACTCCTGTTCTTTTTGCAGATACAGACTAACACGGCTGCTACTCTGAAACCTAAAATGAAGTGGTGAGCAGTCAAACTCTCTGGAGCAAGCATTGTCTGTTTGTCCTGTGTTTGTACAGCACCTAGCGCCAGAGGGGTCCTGCTCTGTGACTGGGACTCTTAGGCACCACCACAATACAAATAATAAAGAGGAACAAAAATGATCAAAGATTTAGGAAACCTGACCTAGGAGGAAAGGTTACAAAACTAGGCATGTTTAGTCTAGAGAAAAGAAGCCTGAGGGGGAACCTGAGAACAGCCTGTAAATACCTTAAGGGCTGTTATAAAGAGGGCTGTGATCAGCTGTTCTCCGTGTCTACTGAAGGTAGGGAAGAAGTAATCGGCTTAATCTGCAGCAAGGGAGATTTAGGTTAGATATTAGGAAAAATGTTCTAACTCTAAGGGAAGTTAAGCTGTGGAATTGGTTTCCAAAGGAGGCTGTGGAATCCCTGTCATTACAGGTTTTTAAGAACAGATTATAGACTCATAGACTATAAGGCCAGAAGGGTCCATCATAATCATCTAGATTGGACAAACACCTGTCAGGGATGGTCTAGGTTTACTTGGTCCTGCCTCAGTGCAGGGGGCTGGACTAGGTGACCTCTCGAGGTCCCTTCCAGACCTGAATTTCTATGATTCTGTGACTCCAATCTACTTCAACAGTTGCTGAGGTTGCTCAGCGCCTCGCAGCACTGGGCTCTGATAAAAGATTATCAGCTTGGGCAGAGAAATCCTTGGACACCTTTTCTTTTTGTAGCTCAGGAGTTGTTGGGGGTGCCTGAACACTGGCCTCCCACTCTGCTGTAGCAAAAAAGAATAAGCTTTGCTCTCATGAGAGGATGTTCTTGGGGTAGGGCAACAGACTGTGACTCAATAGATCTGAGTTCAAGTCTAGGCTCTGTGTGTCCTCATACCTGTGTCCCACTCTATGAAATGGGGGCTGTAGTCCTGCCTGTCTATTTTAAGCAATCCCTACTCCAAAAAGCTTATAATGTGTTCTGGGGCCTTGAGGCATCTCTGTGATATAATGAACACTGATAATAATGATTGCAGGACCTGAGCACTTGTCACCATACTGGCATCCCAGCCACCAAGCAAAAATTAATGTGACTGGAGGAATCAATTGCTAGTCAATGAACAGTGAAAGAAAGTGATAAGCAGCTTCTAGCTAGTACTTTTCATCAATCAATATCAAAGCATTTTACAAAGGAAGTCAGTATTATTATCTCCATTTCACAGATGGGGAAACTGAGGCACAGAGTGGGGGACAGGGTCACCCAGCAGGCCAGTGGCAGATCTGGGAATAGAACCCAGGACACCTGAGATCCAGTCCAGTGGGACCACCCCTTTTACGTAGACAGATGGGCTGGCCTGGCTTGGTTGAAATATGAAGAGATTGGGCGTCTTCCCCAAAGCTTGAGTGAACTCTGAGGTTTGAAAACATTTATTACTTTGGGGTGTTTTATATTTTCAAAAGCCCCGGTTTCATACAGAATTGGAAACACCATGAGAGGGGGATGTAGGTAGGGGTCTGTTGTGTCCATCCATCTGCCCTGGGAATGGAGGACTTCAGTTTGCAAGCTCTCTAGGACTCTGAGTTTGGACAGCACTGAGCACAATGGGACCAAATCCTCCTTGGGGACTTTTGACCGCTACTATCATATACATGTTCATAATTATTAGGGCATATTTTGTCAAGGTTTAAGCCAGTGTTGGTTGTGAGGCTAAATCTCCACCCCCGGGGCTTGGAGGTGGGCTTTTTCTCTTGGTTTCTCTCACCCCAGCTAGGATCCTAGCAATGGTCCGAGGTTGCCTCAGGAACTGGACCACATTGTTCTCCGATTGCTCCTGTGGACTCAAGCTCACCCTCCTCATCCTGCTGTCTTCTCACCTGCCTCGGGGTGAAGATTGATCTTCAGGATGCAAGGCAACAGACAATAGATTAGAAGTGGTGATAGACAGCAAGGAGAGGTGTCTACTGTTCCCATTGCTAGGTGATCTTTAGTTCCCTCAGTCACACAGGAAAAAGGGCCAACGGCTGAACCCTAATAATGCTCCCCTGTCCTATTTTCAGCGGGATGCCCCTAATTTACCTCCATGGAGTTCATGTAAGCCCGGCTCATCCCTCTAATACTTCTGACTAACCCTGCCTGGCTGCAGGGGATTTGGCAGGAGGCATTCCAGAGTACTTGGTGGAGTAAGTATGACATTCACTTTACCCTCTAAGCCCCCCCGGCCAGGTATCTGTGAGTCACAGGGGATGGATTTGACCCTGATTCTGCCCTTTGACCCCTGGCAGCCAGGTAACTCTGGTTGTGGCGGGGCTCATGGACCCTGGCTCTGTGCTGACCCATCCCACTATCTCAGACCATGCCAGAGTTTGCCTGAACTGGGGTTGGCAAGACCCCAGTTCTGCTGTCTGATCCTCCCCAGCCAGGGACCTCCTCCCAGGTGAGTATCCAGGAACATGGCAGGGCTGACACCACGCTGACTCCCTCAGATTCCTGCTGTCCCTGACCACGGTGAGGATGGGGTTTGCGTGACCCTCTGGTGGGAATAATCCTGGCTTTTCCCTCTGGCCTCTCACTTGCCATCATTCCTGACAGCTGCAGGCTTGGCATGGCCCTGTCTTTGCCATCTGAGCCCCCCCTACCCTGCTGCACCTAAACAAGGCAGGGTTGGTGTGATCCCCACCTCTCCTTTGACTCCAATGACCTTGTTATTGCTGACTGGGACTGCAATGGCATCACCCCAGTTGTGCCCTCTGACCTGTCCCTGACTGCACCAGGGTTAGCATGATCCCAGCATTGCCTGCTACCACCCTTGATCTCCTTTGCTGCTATGAGGGGGGTGAGACCCCAGCCCTGCTTCTGACCCTCTAACTTCTAGGCTCTTCCTGATCGTGGTGGGGTTGGTGTAACCCTGGCTCTGCTCTCTGACCCACCCCTGGCTGCTGTGGGGTTAGCGTGTCTCTGGCAGAGGCAGGATTGGTGTGATCCCAGTTGTGCCCCCATCACATCCTGCTTTCCCTCACAAACAGGTGTACCATCTGATGCGAGGGGGTTGCCATCACCCCAGCACCCGTCACATCCCAACCCAAATCTCTGACAGTGGCAGTGCTGGCACGATGCCAGCTATGCCCTATGTACCCTTTCAATTCCAAGCCCTGCTCTCTTTGATGTTAGAGGGGTTGGCATGACCCCGGCTTTGCCCCCTATCACCACCCAGCTCTCTCTGATATTCGGGGGGTTGGCGTGACCCTGACTGTGCCCCCCTCAACTCTCTCTGACATTGGGAGGTTGGCGGGACCCCAACTGTGCCCCCCCTCAGCTCTATCTAACATTGAGGGGTTGGCGTGACCCCCGCTGTACCGCCCTCAGCTCTCTCTGACATAGGGGGGTTGTGTTGGCGTGACTTCGGCTGTACCCCCCTCAGTTCTCTCACACTGGGGGATTGGCATGACCCTGTGCCCCCCTCAGCTCTCTCTGACATAGGTGGCGTGACTTCGGCTGTGCCCCCTCTGCTCTCTCCAACATTGGGGGGGTTGGCGTGACCCCAGCTGTGCTCCCCTCATGTCTCTCTGACACTGCGGGGTTGGCATGACCCTTGCTGTGCCCCCCTCAGCTCTCTCTGACATTGGGGGGTTGGCGTGACCCCAACTACACCCCCCTAAGCTCTCTCTGACATGGGGGGGTTGGGTTGGCATGACCTCGGCTGTTGCCCCCTCAGCTCTCTCTGACACTGGGGGGTTGGCATGACCCTAGCTGTGCCCCCCTCATGTCTCTCTGACACTGGGGGGTTGGCATGACCCTAGCTGTGCCCCCCTCATGTCTCTCTGACACTGGGGGGTTGGCATGACCACGGTTGTGACTTCTCTATGGGGGCCGGTACTGGGGGGCTCATGGCAGGTTCCAGGGGACTCTCACCTCAGGGACCCAGCTCCCTGCTCACCTGTCCCTATCCCCACTCAGAGTCTCTCCTCAGTCCCCTTTTCCCGCCTTTTCCCTTCAAGCGCGTCCCCGCCCCCCGCATCCCCGATGGGAGGGGGAAGGGGAGAGAAAGAGAAAGGAAGGGCTCGACGCCTGATTGGCTAGACCCTGGCCACGCCCCTATTTCGAACTCTGCCGCTGAGGCGGCGGTTGGAAACGCCCGTTGGAGTGGGTTGGGCCGGAGCCAGGGCAGGAGCCGGAGCGCGAGCCGGGTTTTCGAATCAGCCGCGCGGGCTTTCCGGGAGAGGGAGGGAGGGAGTGAGGGGAGAGCCGAGCGAGATTGCCGGTGCGCACGCGCAGCCTGGGAGGCAGGAAGGAAGGCACGCATGCGCACCGTGGAAAGGCACGGGCGGGGCAGAGGGAAGGGGACAGAGCGAGCGAGGAGGTTCTGGTGCGCATGCGCAGACTCAATGTCAACACCGCCTTGCCCAAGGTTAGGGGGCTGCTGCTGGTGCATGGGGATTTCTTCCTGCTCTGCACGTTGTTAACCCAGCCCCCAGGGGCCTGGCTGGGTCACGGTCCTTGGGCGGAGGGGGCACGTGGCTTGGGCGGGAGGGGGGCCCGTGGCCCCCCGCAGCAGGTGGCGCCTGGTGACCTTTGACCTCTGTGACTGGTCCCTGCAGGCCCGGTGACCTCTGACCTTCCTGCAGCGGTCAAGCCGGGTGCACGGATGCGACCTTTGAACCCTGCACAGCGGCCAAGACGCCCTCGGTGCTGCCATCCCACGGCCAGCGACCTTTGAACCTTGCACCCACGGCCAGCGACCTTTGAACCTTGCACCCACGGCCAGCGACCTTTGAACCCTGCACAGCGGCAAGACGCCCTCGGTGCTGCCATCCCACGGCCGGTGACCTTTGAACCTTGCACAGCAGCTAAGCCAACTTTGCTACTCCTGCCCCAGGGCTGGCGACCTTTGAACTCTCCTGGGGTCCCCCCCCCCGAGCTCCTGCAGCCCCACTCGCTTCTCTGCTGGGGCAGAGGGTTTAAATGGTGCCATGGAGGAATCTGAAGAGTCTCCCAAGACCTGACTCCTGGGAACGGACGCAACAGAGAAACAGGCTCGCACTGGCCAGGGATATGGCTGCTGGGCGGCGGTGGGTGGTTGGGGAACGGGGCCACGGGGCCTTTCCCCTCTAGGGGGCACCAGCTCCTTTCTGGCCCCAGAGCGGGGGACTGGCCAGCTCAGTGGGGCAGGGAATGGGACACAGGGCCTTTCCAGGGAGTGCTGGCTCTCATCTGGCCCCAAGACAGGAGACTGGCTGGCTCGGGGGGCAGAGAATGGGACGTGGGGCCTGCCTCTTCCAGAGGGTGTTGGTTCCCCTCTCTCCCAAACTGAGTGCTAAAAGTCATTCTCATCTGACCTCTGCTTGCTGGCCCATGTGTGAACTGAGTGGCTGGGTCTCAGCCCGGTTCCTGGGCGAGGGATCCCTGAATAAACAGTCCCCATGCCCGACCCCAGAGAGGCTGCATCTCACCACCAAACAAGGGGTTGCTGTATAAACAGCCGCTGTGCCCCACCCCAGAGAGGCCGCATCTCAGGACCGGGTGAGGCGGTCCCCGTACAAACAGCCCCTGTGCCCGCATCTAAGTGCCCAGAAGGGATCCCTATATAAACCGGCCCCGAGACCCGCAGTTTGGCTGAGGATTGAGCTGGCCACAGAGCTGGAGCTGCCCACTGCAGGGCTATGGCGGCTGTGTTGTGTCGGGCTGATGCCTCCCTCTCTTGCAGGATGCTGGGTGTGGCTTGGGCCGCCCTGGGGACAGGGGTGCCGGGGCCGCCCCGCCGTGGCACGGCCTCCCTCGCCTCCCGGATGGCAAAGTACCGGAGGATGTGGAAGCCTGTGGAGCCCCAGGGGTGGGCTGAGCAGTACAGGGAGCGGTTCATCCCCTTCACCAAGGGGCAGCTGATCAGCACCCTTCTCAAGGTACAGGGCGCTCCCCCGGGGGCCACAAAGCGAAGCAGGGCCAGGCTGGGGCAGCACGCCAAGGGGAGACTGTTGGGAAACACCTGGCGGCAGCAGGGTGGGTGACTTGGTACAGGGCAATCCCCTCTGAGTCAGAGCCGATCTCACCCCAGAGGGGTCGCTGTATAAAGAGCCCCACCCCAGAGGTGGTCGCATCTCAGCACCGGGCGTGGGGTCCCTGTATAAACAGCCCCGCCCCAGAGGCGGTCGCAGCTCAGTGTCAGGCGAGGGGTCTCTATATAAACAGCCATACCGCTCCACCCCAGAGGTGCCTGCCTCTCAATTAGGCGGTCGGAGCAGCACAGGAGACGGCTCTCGCACACAGCACAGGATATACCTCTGAGATCTGGGGATGCCGGCCCCTGGTGAATCCACACTTGGCGCTAACTGTCCCTCCAGGAGTTCCACTCTTCCAGCGACGCCGAGCGCGCCTCCTTCCTGGCCTTCGTGGCGCGGGTGGATTCTTCCCTCCTGCATCGCTACCATTCCCTCCTGGGGCGCTTGCAGGTATGGTATCTGTTGTATGGAGTCCCCTTCGGAATAGCTAAGCCGGGCTGGGGCTCAGATGGGAGCCGGTGAAAGAAAACACGGTGGGTAGGGGGCGCTCTCCACTGGCAGTCAGCGCTGGCCCCTGGGCAGCCCTAGGGGTCTGTGCTGCAGGGAGCAGGGCAGGGGCTCAGTAGGGGGGCCCATTTGGGGATTTTCTCTATAAACAGTCTCTTTGCTCCACCTCAGAGGCAGTCACATCTGAGCGCCAGGTGAGGGATTGCTGGGTAAGCAGACCCCACTCCCCACCCCAGAGGCAGCTGCATCTCAGCACTGGGTCAGGGATCACTGTATAAGCAGCCCCTGCTCCTGACCCCAGAGTCGGCTGCAACTCAGCACCGGGTGAGAGTCCCTGTATAAACAGCTGCAGCGCTCCACCCCAGGGCTGGCCACATCTCAGCGTGGAGTGAACAGATCCCTTTTCAGACATGGTGCTGTGGGATCCTTGGGGCCGGGTGTCCCACACAGCTGTACCTTCCTGCTGCCCCTCCACAGGCTCTCTACGACCCCATTAACCCCGACCGGGACACCCTGCCAGAGTTGGCTCTGAGCGACACCGAGCGCCTGGCTAAGGAGCGGCAGGTCCTGGCTGAGCTGGAACCGGTGCTGGATCAAGCCAACTTCAACAGCCTGTCGGACGATGCCCTGGCCTACGCCCTCATCGTGCATCACCCTCAGGATGACGTCCAGGTGCGGCCACCTCTGGGGAGGGGAGCGGCCCATCGGGCACTGCCCCAGTATAACACATGGGAAAAGCAAATTCCTTTCTGCCCCTGATCCCGTGCCCTGCTACTGACCCAGCAGGCCTCTTGCCCCCTGCAACTGCCCCTCCCTTGGTTACCACTTCAGGATAGACCCTCCTGCCTGCCTATAATCCTGTCAGGTATACAGGATTTCCCTTCTCTCCCTGAGCTGTGCAATGAAGAAACCCTATTCCCCACCCCAGAGGCAGCTGCATCTCAACGAGCCAGGGGTCCCTGTATAAACAGCCCCTGCGCCCCACCCGAAAGGGGCTCCGTCTCAACGCTGGGCAAGGGATTGCTGGATAAACAGCCCCCATGCACCACTCCAGTCTCAGCGCCCGGCAAGGGGTCCCCGTATAACCAGCTCTTGTGGTCCTCCCCAGAAGCGGCCGCATTCGAGGGCCAGTCGTGTTGGGAGGACCCAGGCTTAGCAACCCGTCCCGCTGTGTGTTGTGGCTGTAGGTTTCCCTTTGTTCCCCAGGTTTCAGTCAACCTGGATCAGTACGAGTACATCCGGTTCTGGGCCCTCGGCCAGCGTGTTGGAGTCCTCCCGATTAAATCCACGCTGGGGCCTCGGAAGGGGCTGTTCGGCACGGCACGGACCCCCGTGGAAAGGCAAGGACGCCCCCTCTTCTAACCCCTCCAGCCAGGATCTCTAGGAGCAGAATGGCTTGGGGGCGCTGTGCTGAGGGAATGGGGCAGGGGACTCAATAGGGGGTGCTCTCCCCTGGCAGTCAGCATTCGCCCCAAAGCCCCAGGGCGGTGCTAGGGGGCGCTGTTCTGCTAGGGCCTCAGTAGGGGGTGCTGTCCCCTCACAGTCAGGGTTGACCCCAGTGCCTCAGGAGTGGAGAGGGGGGCTCAGTAGGGGCACTCTCCTCCAGCAATCAGTGCTGGCCCCAGGGATTCATCCAGGGTTGCGACCTCCCTTCCCTGCCTCTGTCGGTCGTGGCCCGAGCCATGATTTGGGGGGCTGCACCCGCAGTGCCTGGCCCTAGATCCCACCCCGCTGATGGTGCTGCCCACCCCCAGGCATTATTTCAAGCGGGTGCTGGTGGCGGCCCGGCCCAGGAACGCCCACCTGGTGCTGAAGTGCTTCAAGGACATCCCCTTGGAGGCGCTGGAGCAGCTGCTGCCAGCCGTGAGGATCCGCACGTCCATCTTCTACAAGACGCTGCTGAATGTCACGCTCGTGGTGAGCGGGCTGGTCCTCTTCGTCAACGTCGGCATGGTGGTGCTGTCTGACCTCAAGATCGGCACCAGTTTCCTGCTGCTCTGCTTCGCCGCCTTCATGACCTTCCGCGCCTGGAAGGTAGGTGCCCTGGCGAGGTCGGGGCCGCGCAGTCCCCTAGGCGGGAGATCGGGGACCCCCGTTGCGCCGGGCTCCGTGCAGACCCCGCCTCCCGCCCGAGATCAGGGCCCCCGTGGCGTCGTGCAGACCCCGTTGGGCTGGGTCCTCTGTACTCTCATAGAAACAGGTCCTGCACCAAAGAGCTCACAATTTAAATAGACAAGGCAGAGAGGAAGAGGGGAAACTGAGGCATGGATTGACTAATTGAGTTGACGGCGTCCCACAGCAGGTCAGGGGTAGAGCTGGGAAGAGCACCCAGGGCTCCAGTGCCCTACCCATGAGACCACACGGGCCTGAAGGCTCCTGTCGGCGACTGAAAGGAGCCACCGAGTTGCCAGGCCTTGGCACTTCAGCTACTCTCCTCCCAGAGCTAGGAGATAGAACCCAGGAGTCCGGGCTCCCCGCTGTAACCACTAGACCCCACTTCCCTCCCCGAGCAGGGGATAGGACCCAGGCGTCCTGACCCCGTGCTCCCCACGCAGGTGTTCGGGCAGCGGCGGAACATCCACTCCCTGGAGCTGGCGCACATGCTGTATTACCGCAGTACCTCCAACAACTCGGAGCTGCTGGGGGCGCTGGTGCTGCGGGCGCAGGAGGAGCACGCCAAGGAGCTGATCCTGGCACACAGCTTCCTGGGCCGGCAGCCAGCCCGGCCCCCGCACGGCCCCGCAGGTAGGGACCAGCAGGGGGCACTCTCAGCGGGAGGCAGGGCTGAGACACGGGGTCTCCCCGGCAGGGGGCGCTCTCACTCAGGGGGCAGGGCTGAGCGGGAGTGTCTCCCCATCAGGTTGGG